TAATAATCTTATCAAACACTTATTCAGTTTACTAAAACAGATAAGTAGCATACCTACAACATTCCTAAATAGTGGGACAATTCTGTTTATGTTAGCATAATTCTAGAATGTCAGTAGCGCTTCAACTACAACCCTGTTATTTGATCACAAAATAATAAATATATCTATCACCATAATTTGCGACGAAGACATTGCACTGCTAATATTGGACTTCAAAATGAAAATGTAAGTAGCTGAGACTATATTGAGATGCGATTATTACATACGTAAAAATGCAGAATGGAGGCCCAGATCTTACGTAAAATCAAATCATGTTTATACGGTATCTTTACAATCTCTATATGCTTAAAGCAAAGTTTAAACTTTATTTAATATTAATCTTATAACGAGGCCGCTCAACTCTTATCTTATTTCACTCGTGATCAGTACCTCCGCAAGGGAGCGAAGTTTTAATCTATTCACTGAGCATTTATATAAGTTTATGAAACTCCTGTCTTTATAAGTACATATGTAGCGTCGGATTAGATATGTATAATGGGGATGATGCCTGAGTAAAAAAAAAATTCTATTTAGTCCTTCAGTGAAATAATAGAAAAATATTAGATACCTATTTTTGCTTCATTATAACAAGAAAATGCCTTAGATAAATAAACGTTAAAGTTGAGGAGTAGAATCTCACAACATCACAATTAAGGAATGCAATCTCGCGAGATTGGGGCTCAAGCGAGACTTCGTCGGCACTTTTGTGTGTAATAAACACAAAAAATCACTATTAAATAATATAAATTATAGCTGTTATAAAATAAACATTCACTTTTACGTGTATTTTCAATAAAATTTTATGAAATGAATATTGTTTGACGCAATTTTTTTTCTACCACCTTTAAACGAGGAATTCCTATATTATAATCTGAATCTCGGAACCGGCTTCAAGAATTTTCATGAAATTTATTATACAGGGAGATAAATCTATTTAGTTAACATAGGTTTTACATATCAAAAAGTATTGAGTCAAGTATCATTCATCCAAGTACTAAACTTTTAAGTAGTAAACTTTGACGTATGTCAAGTTGACATTAGCAGAGACCAATGTCATGTCTCTGCTAATGTCAAAGAAAGTCATAAAACAGTTCTTTTACAACAAAAGAACTAGAAATCAAAAATAAAATAAAGCTCATTAACTATGTAAGTTGAATTGATTATGATACTGATATTATTATTATTAATTAAAGAAAACTATGTGTACTCAGAGATCTATTAGTAATTACAGAATCAATTAACAAAATATAATATAAATTTAAAGGTTTGTTTAGTTCACCTCATACGCCATTATTACGAATTATTTTGAAGTAGCTTCTTAAGAAGCACAAAATGTCAAAAGAATCGTCTGCTAATCGTCTTCTTATTGTGCTGGCCAGATAACTAGCCGCTTATAAGGCTTTTTCGGAAACAAAAGTACTGTTTTTACTCCCCGGACTAGTACAAATTCACGCTGCCGCACTGAGAATTATCGTTTTTGTGCTCGAGGGCAATGTTGTTATACTCGCGTAATCTCGCACATTTTTCCAGCGAAATCAATCTTGCTGAAAAAGGCCGAAATCTCGCGAAAACGAGACCTTGCGAGAAAGAGATTGCATTCCCTAGTCACAAATATGTAGAAAATGTACAAAGTGACGTCATACAACATTTCAACTCAATGTATCGCTATAGTGGTATCACCGTAATTTATTAATTACGCAAAACCAAAAAAAAATACATGTTTCATATTCTTCAATAATTCACCTGACAGACAAACAAGCAAATTTTAGTCATAATCTCTAACGTCAAATTTTAATAACTTGCCTTCAAGCGGAGTATTACAAGTAGATAAATAATATTGTTCATACATATCTATAAAATCAATCATATAATCTTTGATAGGTGTTAAAAATACATAACATTATTGACGGCGCTTAAGAGATTTCATGTTATACATGTCGCTATGTTAATAAAATTAATATAAAACATGAATCATAAAATTATATGTAAAAGTGAACATAATGTTATTAATATTTTAAGACGTTAGACAACACGTAGATGATAATAATATATTCTTTGATAAGAAACTAAAAATCAGACAAATAAAAATAAAAATTGTCTTTATTAATTACAGATCACAATTTTCAAAATTGTTTAGGTCTTTCCTTTATAGCAGTGTTTCTTAAAGTGGGACCAGTGTTTCCTAGGAGTTCGCTATCTGAAGCGCGAAGATCGCGAGAAGATTTACGAAATAGTGGTTCAATGATTGTACATTGAAGGTTAAAATTGACGAAAATTAATTTTAAATTCGCGACCAATTATAATATATTCTTTTGACACTGATATATCTTAAACACCTAATTTTATCCTAATATTTGGTTGTTTTTAAAATTGCGACAAAAAACAAACCCAATATATTATTATTAAAAAGATATTTAATTTATTTTAATTCTCATTTTATTATTTTCTACGGGGGCCGGCGTTTTAGATTAATTAGTAACGAGGTTTACTGTCATCTGGAATATTTTTCGGGGGTTCGTGAGGCCAAAATTTGAGAAATCCTGTTTTAAAGTATCATTATATCAGGAAAGACTCGTTTTTTATAGTCTAATATATATAAAATTGACTGCAGTTATGGTAGCTCGTATATTGTCCAAACAAACGGAATAATAGCATGCCGAATGTGTTTGTAAGATTGTAAGTGAAAACAGTAATATTATCTATTATAGATAGATCAGGATTCGTAAAAATACTTTAGCTTTGTGGAATGGTCTTTGCAACTGTCTTATTATATGGAATATGGATAATGGAAGAGAGTGAATAAAGAAATACGAACTTTGATATTTGTAAAATGTAGTTGAGCAAATTGGTGCATGTCGTGTTTACCTATAAGACCTTGTGGCAATTAGATAATAATAATAGAAAAAATAATATCGAATGTGTATCTTATCTTTACAACGGCGCGGGCGTTTATCATTTACCGTTACTACGTACATTAATATTTTGCTGAAAAAAAACAGAAAATACAATGCAACCACAGCACCTGTCAAAAAGTGAGAATTATTATTATAAATAATGAATGACTGAAAAAACCGTAGGGTACATCAACCCTACAGTTCGTTCACGTGCCATTAAAGTAAACGTCAAGAAATATGATAAGCCACCAAAATTTCCTCAGACACTTTTTCAGCATTAAACTTTTTTGAGCGTTCATTAATTAACTGACTTCAAAATCGAAAAAGAGGAGGTTATACTTATATTCTACGGCGATATATGTATTTTTTATTGACGTATGTTCACCTTAGATGAGATATTTCTTGTATCTCAGCTAAAAAAGGAATGATTTCGTATTTTGAATTCGTTCAAAATCCAAAAAGAGGATTTTCTATGTTCAAGGAGTACGTATATTTTTCATGAAAATTTTTAAAATGTTCGATCAAAACAATCAATTTGTTCTTAAATTGACCAATTTCTGACCAACTAGCTGTTTCCCCGTGACTTCGCCTGCGTAAATAAGCCTATGCTCAACGCGTATTATGTAGCTTCCGGTAGATAAAAGATTTTTATAAATCGGTCCAATAGTTTCGGAGCCTGTCCAATGCAAACAAACGAGCAATCAAATCTTTCATCTTTATAATACGAGTATCGAATTATTGGAAAAAATATGTAGAGCAAATAAACAAAATCTTCTTTTCTGTTAAACCTATTTTAACCCCCGACGCAAAACGACGGGGTTATAAGTTTGACGTGTCTGTGTGTGTGTCTGTAGCATCATAGCTCCCGAACGGATGAACCGATTTTGATCTTGTTCTTTTTTGTTTGAATGGTGTATTAGTCGGGAAAGTTCTTCACTATGTTTGATGAAAATCGATCCAAGATGGCCGCCGCCACAAAATGTCGGATTACATATTTTGTCACGATTCCATCAATATGGGTATCAAATAAGAGGGCTTGAGTAGTAGAATACTGAACACTATGACAAATTTATTTATATATATCTATATCTATACTTATAATATTTTTATAAATTTGGATAAAGGATAAAGGAAAGATTTGATTGTTTGTTTGCAACGAATAGGCTTTGAAACTACGGGACCGATTTTTTAAATTCTTTCATTTACGGGAAGCTCTATTACATGCAATGAACATAGACTATATTTTATCCCGACAAATAGCAAATAAAGGGATGAAAATGGGAGTGGAATTGGGTATAGGGGGTGAAAACATTACCATAGTAATGATTGTTAACTATTCAATTTGTCATTGTAATTATATCCGTATCAGCGATATGAATCGATATCAAAATAAACAGTTCCCTAGGGACTATGCAGGCATAGCCAGCTTCACCGTATTTAATATGTTCAGTGTTACCTGTTATATAAAAAATATTAATACCTATCACTAAAAAGCGTGAAAGAAAAACTTTTAAAGAATCGAACCGATTTCAAATTTTATAAAAGTGATAAATATTATACTTATCTCAAAAGCGACTTATTCACGAAAATGCTATTGAAGTCAGAAGGGGGGGGGGTCTTCTGTAGATTTATAAATTAAATGATAGGCGCCGGACTTCAACAGCATTTTCTTGAATAAGTCGCTTTGATATAAGTATTAAATATCACTTTTTTAAAGTTTATAGTCGGATTCAATTTTTAATTTGTTTTTATGTATCTGTAGAGGAAACGAGAAGGAAATCCTTAACGAGTTGCTTATAAATATTAGATAAATAACTCGAAAATAATAACGATTATTGTAAAAGTTTTCCTTAGAACACTCGTTAAAAAAGATACTTAAATATTTATCACTATATTTTTTTTTCATCTTAATTTAGCTGTTAAGATTGTACCCATTGTACCACAACAATTAAAACGTACCAAAATCTGAAAACTCAAAAAATACAAGTTTAAAAACTAATATTAAATCTATTATAATATATGTTTTGAAATCTTAGGTAGGAGGAAATCAATGTTTCTCAGACTTTGAAAACATTCAGATCACTCATACACTACACTCAAACAGGTAGACTATTTTCTGCTTTGAAGGTGATTTCGTATGTCGTATCCCTTATTTAAACTTCATTATTGAGCCAATTGAATTAGTTAGAGAAAAGTTATGTTGTACTGGTTAGGTCGAAAAAGTAAATAAATATTAAGCAACACCACATTACTCAGATTGCAAGTTACTCGTCTTCTAAAGTTTCCGTATTATGGAGAAATCGACCTGACCGGGAATCGAACCCGGGACGTCGGAGATGGCGAAACCTTGAAACCGGCGGGCCAACCACACGGATACGGAAGGGGTCATTTTTTAGAAAAAAAATATTATTATTAATAAGTAACGTTAACTATGTGTATATAAAATATACCAGCGTCAAGCAGAATATTTTCCGGGCAATACTTGATGGTGTGGGCTCGGTCGCCGGTTGCGGCGCATACGGGACATATATACGCACGCAGTACCGGACATTTCACCCTTCCGCGACCATCCTTCAAGCAGTGGGATGAGTACCAACCCGTAGATTCGCCGTTGTTTTTACAAAATGAACACTCCTGAAAATTTTTAAAATATATACCTACATTAATAAACGTTTCCATGCGAATCTCTTTTCCTTTTGTAGAACACTATTCATTGGTACTATTGGCAATAAAAATATTTATCCACACTTGAATTTATGAAAAGAAATAATAACACCTTACTTAAAGCAAATTGAGGTTATAACACGAAACGTATCATTTCACAAACCTCACTGATGAATATAAAACTTGATTTTTGCCACGCATTAAGATTTTCCCAGTAAGAATCTAGGCTGTATTATTTTATTTAGAAATTCAGTTCTTATATCTTAGTAAAATGACCACTAATCAAAATATTTTAATCTAAAAGTTTTAATCATGGATGGAAAATGAAAAATACTTCATTTAATTAAGCTTATTATAAGCACTTTTGAATTGTCTAATGTTTTCTCTCTACCACTCGTTCAGAACGTCTTTTAGCTGATAAAAAGAACATGCGAAAGAAGCTTCGCAGCCCAGAAGGCCTACTCTGTTTCAAATTCTTCTATTTTCGAAACCCTAATACGACTCTAAAGGAACACATTCTTAGATAATTAATAATGAAACGGAAGTAGGACCTTGACACTGCTTCTGATACACAGACAATATTGGCAGATATAATTTTTAAAAAAATCATAAGAACAGTATAGAATAAAGCGAATGCTATTAGTTCCATGCGTTGCAGTCCTTAAAATAATTATCAACTTTATAATAGCCTTTACTCATAAGTAAGTTCTTTGGATGATTTTTATCCAACTACGGCGAAGCGAAAAAGGGGGTTATGATTTTGGCCGGTATGTATGTAGGAATGTTCTCTGTTCCCCTTTAACTCCGAAACTACTTATCGTAATTGGACAAATGAGGTATCATTAGAATGGTCTTAGTTCTCCGCGTGTATGTATTGTATTGTATAGGCTATGTGACGTTAAATACTGATACACTAATACTGGTGCTTTATTACTTCTCACGAACTTAAGATATGGATCTATAGAAAAAATTTAATATAGGTAGGTTTTTGACTAACCGATCTATTTTGGATTGTATTCCGTTGCCGGCGTAAGGTGTCTGTAAAATGCATAAGCAAATCTAATTGTTGAGGAGTGAGAGACAGCAAGGCAGCTTCTTGTTCCATCACCATCGTCTTGTAATCTATTCGAGGACGAGATTCCAAGTTTTCTGAAAAGATTTATCGTATAAAAGTGAACTTGTTACGGTTAAAAATAAAATCACAAAGGTCTATATGAAAAGAAGATACGTTCCTTTATAATTAAACGTTTTTAAACGAAGAGAACTTACTGGATCAATATAATTATAAATCTAAAAAAATCCATCGAGACTGGTAGGTATACTCTGCCTCCTTTAGATTAATTTCAATTTACAGGCGCTCGGGGTGCGACCGCCTCAAACTCTTGCCATAGGATATTATATCTTATCGAATATTATGACGATATTTCGTTTTAATTTTACTACTTGGGGCGGATAAAGGGATTAATGTCTAAGCTCATACATATTGCCCTCCAATCCATATTCATCATTCTTTATCATTTGTTTTTCGTTATTAAAGTAATGTCTAAGTTGTAAAATAATATATAACATCACGCTATCACTTACAGGAGTGGAGCAGCAATAAAAAATATTGCAAAAAAAGGGTTATTCCTTTACTTTTTTAAAGCTTTCCTTGCGTGCGCTATGTAAACGGCGTAAGTTACGCAAAAATATGTATTACGAAATTGATCCCCTTTAAAAGTTCTAAAAAAGTGGGCGGCAGCATATGTATATCTTATATCACCACAAAAAGCACATAAATGGTATTCTAACATCGCTAAGATGTCGTGACCCTATGGCTAGAGTTATAGCTAGAAGAGTTAAACCTTAACAGAGTAGCTCGGTGGCGTAGAGGATAAGCGCCGCGGCCCGCGATAGTTGTCGTTAAGCAACTTTCACAAGGGTCGGTCACGGGATAGGTGACCAAAAAAAAAGTATTATTTCGAGCTACTCCGTGCTTCGGACAGCAGCAGCAGCCGGGACCAGGCTGCAATTGCAGTCGTTAATACCCTCCGATCTGCATTGGGCCAGTGGGGAGGGTCATGGCCCATCCTCCTTAACCATCCATAAGGAAGGTCTGAGCCCCTGCAGTGGGAACGTACAAGGGCTGATGATGATGAGTTAAACCTTCGCTTTGCCGGACTATAACATGAGGTTACAATGAATTTAATAATAATAATATTAATAATAGGTAATAATTCATTTATTACATGTCACATAGTTGATGTAATTATTAGGTACCTACAGTTCATGTGCTACCAGGATCAGGATGTAGCAAAGTCAATTTACGTTTATAAAATTAATTTGTCATTCGTTCCTAATTTAATTCAATACATAAATCGATATGAACTTAATAATTATTGTAATTACATACATTAATAATTATTATAATAATAATAATATTGTTTAAATGTTGAAAAGGTATTAATATCAGAAAATAAGAAACTGTAATCAATTTTCAGTTTGATCAGCTTCGGATGGTCCCGCGGTAAAGCAAGTATTAAGGCCAGTTCCTTTTATATAAATAAGGTATACCCTGCTAGTACACAACGAAACATGAATTTTTCATTAATTAGTTAAATCTTAGATGCACAAAAAACTCTTCTGAACTATTATTAATTCTTAATTTTAAGGAGCTAGTAGTTCCATATGAAACAGTATTCACTTCAACCTAAAAGCTCTATTGTGACTCGCCCCTAGAATGATAGTGACTACCTACTAATAGTTTATTTTAGTCGTGTGGGCGTAAAATATCATTCAATTCCTTTTCAATAACAACAACAGCTTTCTCACAGGCTTATTCGAAATGATTCTAATTTTTACTATATCGTTTAAAACGGTTCTTGTGAGCTAACAGCTTAACACCGGTCTAAGAGTCATCGCCGATTTGTTCCAAACAATTCCAGTAAACCGAGTCTAGATCAGTCAAACCATTTTGATGATAAATGGGAAATTTGTTAGCAATAAACTGTTTATTGTAACCTGACGAGTAATCACTTTAATATATTTCAATACTGTAACAAGCATTACCGATAATATTACAATTTTTTAAAGATAAAATCGAACAATCTTTTTTCGAGACACGAGAACATTGACTCGTACAAAGAAATAATTACTAAAACTGATAGATCGCGTTGTTCTTTGTAAGATCGCGTTATTATTTGTTCTTTTTATATGAATATTTGGCTCACTAAAGAAACAAAAAGTATAGCGTAAAATCTTTAGAATTTTCTCCAATCGTATTGAAGTGGCGACCGAAATTTATTATTACATATTTTTCTAAAAAATCATGTCTCAAAAATTGATGTGCTGACCAAAATATCAAGGTGGGGAGCCTTGATTTTTTGAAAATGTATATCTATTTAATGTACTCCTTTAAAACGTACGATACTCTTTTTATTTCAGTATTAAAATAAAAAGAGTATCGTTCCGCCCAGTTGATAATGAGCATTAATAATAATGCTGACCGAAAATTCGATTATTTTTATAGTATTTACACTTTGACCACCAATATTCGGTATTTTTCATACTGCGTGGGCATTTCTTATAAAGCCCAATTAATTACTTGGTCCATGACACAAACACTAATATTAACGTGATTAGACTCAAAATATTGAACACAACTTTGAAGAGCACAAATTATTAAAACACGTATACTCGAATAGACATTTTTAATGACATATAATAACAAAACAAAATCTATAAAAAATACAATATTTAAAAAAAACCATAAAGAACATCAAAATAATAAGGTTTTATAGGTAGGTGGCTAGTGCTTAGTGGCTGTCGCCAACACTCCCCCCCCCAGTGTGAGCACTAATTATTGTCGTGACAGACACTAACCAACGGCACTAAATTGCGAGTGGCCCGTTTCAGGACTCCGACTTTCGTTTTTACATCGACGGTCCGTACTCTCCCGTCTTTGCCCGGGTAGATCTTAATAACCCGTCCTCTAGGCCAGGTGGAACGCGGCAAGGAGCCATCAATAATCAAAACTATATCGCCAAGAGCAATTTCTCTATTGGACCCGGTTCTTCTGGGTGCCAAAGCAGGCAAAATTTCCTTAACCCATCGCTGCCAAAAGTGATCCGCAAGCCGCAAACCCTTTTTGTAATCAGCTCGTCGACAGAGATCAACATCGGAAAGAGGCTGAAGCTGATGATCACCAGATGGTCCACCAATGAGGAAATGGAAGAGCGTTAAAGCTTCATGGTCATCCGGCCCAACAGGAACGTGCGTCAATGGCCTGCTGTTAACAATGGCTTCCGCCTCAGCCAGAAGCGTCCTCAAAATTTCCTCTCTTGGTGCTCTTTCTTTTAATGTTACTGAGAGGGCGGCTTTTATGCTGCGAACCAACCGCTCCCAGCATCCCCCCATAAACGGAGCCGCTGGGGTTATAAATGACCACTGTATTTTACGGTTTGCTGCGAAGTCATACATTTCGTTCAGTTTGCGAGAGGCACCAACGAAGGCTGTTCCATTGTCCGAGTAAATATGTGCAGGACACCCACGAAAGGCGATGAATCGTCTGAGAGCCATGAGCGCTGAATCAGAGGTGAGCGTCTCCACGAGTTCTAGATGAACTGCTCGAACCGTTAAGCATGTGAAGAGAGCAACGTATCGTTTGAGGTGTCTTCTACCTGCTGTCACATTGATAGGGCCGAAGTAATCAACTCCTACGTGAGTAAAAGGCCTCTGGTTGTGCGCTAATCGGCCTGCTGGTAAGTCACCAAATGGTGGAACGACTGGAGTTAATTTTCTTATTTTGCATTGCTGACAACGATGCGAAACATATTTGATGGAGGCACGAAGATGGAGAACATAGAATCGCATTCGCACCTGGTTAACTATCAGTTCACAGTTCCCGTGAGCATTCTTTTCATGATAATGCAGCAGAAACAATCGGACAATGGGATGGCGGCCGTCCAATACAATAGGCTGCAAATCTCTGCTTGATGGCGTATCCTGTACTGCTAAAATTCTGCTTGAAAGTCGAATCAATCCCTCGGAGTCGATAAAAAGGGCAAGCTTCGCTAGTCTACTTTGTTTCGGGATGGGTACGGACCGGCGAAGATATGTGAGCTCTATTGCAAATGACTCCGCTTGGGATACAAGGATTAAGTGTAATTCGGCTTTAACAATTTCAGAAGCAGTTAATAAATTGCAAGAATTATTATCGCGCCTTAAAATATTTATAAATTTATTTGCACAAAAACGAACGCGAGCCGTTGCACGAACCAACCTGGTCCAATTACTAAAACGCGAATGATCAGCGACTATAGGGCAAATAAATTGAGGGACTGAGCTGGTTTGTGCCGGCTGGAATGATGGATGAAAAGAATCTGACAATGAAGAATGAGAGGATGAATGATGATGATCGATTTGAGCCACGAAGTCTCGAGGAGGAGATTTAATTTCATCAAGGCATCGTGACGTGAAAAGAGACGATGGCTCTTGGGGCCAGGTTTCCGACGAAACTAATAAAAAATCAGGTCCAGAGAGCCAACGTGATAATTGAAACTTACAATTTAGCCTGGTTGCGTCATCAGCGACATTCAATGCTGATGGAATATATCTCCAACTGGCTAGATCACTAATTTCAATAATTTCGCCAACCCTAAAGGCGACAAAAGCTTTAAACGTTCTGGCATCACTACGTAGCCATTTTAAAACCGTCATTGAATCACACCAGAGAAACGTCGCCTCAGGTTTGTGCTTATGAGCTCCGTGTATATATGAAGCATAACGAGCCGCGATAAGAGCTGCTTGGAGCTCAAGCCGCGGTATTGAAGTTGGCTTTAACGGAGCCAACCTGGCCTTTCCACCAATAAGAGCAAGCTTGACAGTTCCATCTTGGCATCTGAAACGCCAATATGCAACGCAGCTGTAAGCATGCTCACTGGCGTCGGCGAAAAGATGAAGTTGTCGTTCAATAATAGGACTAGAGTGGTTGAAATAACATCGGGGCACTACCGAGTTCGCGGCCGGCTCAAGTCTGTCAACCAATTTTGCCACTTATTATAAAAACTTGGCGGCAGTAAATCATCCCAACTTATTCCAGACCGCCATATCTGTTGGAATAGAATGCGTCCTTTGATAACTACAGGTACCAATAATCCCAGGGGATCGTA